TACTTTGGGCCCGAATCCTACATTTACGATCCCCCCTACTGGTTGTTCATAGATCGAGACCCAGAAGATCTCCTCGATGGCCAGGAGGATGGATCGGTCCACGAGCAGGACATTGCGAGTGAGAATGGAGAGATCAACGACAATGAGCCAAAAGAACAAGACAAGCACATTGGGAATAATGACGACGGTGCATACAGCAATCGCACTGACTTCGAGGTGGAGGAGGATGTCGAAAACAACCGAGTAATGTTCATGCGCGCCTTGCAGCAGGAGGAGCGTGAACTTTACAAGGAGCAGAGTCAGGCGTCTCTGAATGGCAATTCACAATCCCACCATCAATACAATGGTATTGCAGATCAGGCGACACGTCTCAGCATCCAGGACGAAGATACCATACCCACTCCCTTGTATGATGGCATGACAAAGCGATGGGAGAAACAGAGGAATGAGTACCTGTGGAACTTCACGTACAGGTGGGACAGGGACGAGTTTGATGCATGGTACTGGGATGAACTCGACCGGGAGCACGGTGGCAAGTGGGGCGACTACCGCGACAGACTCGATCTGCTGCCGCAGCATGTGAAGGACCTCATGGAGTGGTTCGTGCATAAGAGGATGGAGGAGAGGGATCAGTGGAACCCCAGGGAGCTTATGGACGCAGTTCTGGGACAAATGGATGGGACCGGGCCATTTGTCACTGCTATAGATCGGACTTCCGGTCCATAATTAGTCAGAAACAAACTCTTGCTCCTCTAACACGTTTACAAGAGCTGTTCTCTTCCAGATTGCACTTGACAACACGTCAAAGCAAAGATTAGAGACTTCCTTCTCGCGGTATCTAGTCGACAAATACCAAGGGAATTCCAAGACTCGAGTCTGACCAATATACTGGTTTCGGCGCACCGCCAATTGACTGCGGAAGTGGATCACACCACAGCAGCTTTTTCGAGGTCCAAAACCCTCTGAATCAACCAGGAAAGGCTTTTCGAACGATGCGACAAGCGATCCCTGCACAGCTCACCATGAAACAACAGAAAAGGAGCTTCTGACTGTGATTGCCCCTATTTGTGTGGCGGATCTCAGCAGACAAAGACTCCTTTCCTTAACTATCTCTTAAGTGATGCCTCCTCATGAGAACCTCACATGGGACAACTTCACATGGGACAATCTCACAATGGACAGTATCTCAGAGGACAACCTCCCACAGGACAACCTCCCACAGGATAAACCCCCATAGGATAAACCCCCACAGGACAATCTTCTATGGGATCACCTCTTATGGGATAAAGTCCTACAGGGCAACCACTTATATGATAATTTCTTATAGTATTGTCTCTTCTAGGGAAGCCTCTCCTCAGCCTCTCACCGAACTTCTCTGACCAGGAGAATTTTAGCAACGTCTTCACATTCCTAAATATGTTGGTAGTCGAGCCTGACACTTCTCTTCACAGGATTCCAACAAACCTGGCAGCCCGTTCACTCGTGTCCACGGAGTCTTGCGCAACGGCGTTCGTTGTCATCGGCGACCGTCGTTACAGATACCTGGCGTTCAGTAACTCACAATTTAGGGAGAACGGTGAATTCTTTTATTTGTGACACCAATCATGTTGCCTGTGACTCCATACGCGAATGGATAGGAGACTTCCGATATTCCAAACCGTGCAAAACAAAACTTATTAACGACCTCTAGGAAGATGGTGCTCTTTTCCGCGGGACTGGCAACTGGATTTTCTTTTTCGCCGGCTGCCTCGTACCCAAATTCTTTCTTGACTTGTTTGACCAGGCGAGGGATCTAGCCAAGTTTCGAAGACCGGAAAAGAGCAGACCCCTGGACCCTGAAGAATTTGAAGAGCCTTGTTGCACCGGGGCTGCCTTAAAGTTGTTTTATCGACACCTCATCCCCAGTGTTTTGCCATCCAATGCCATTGCTGCTGGAAAAGAGGCGCTGGTGAGATGGACTTACTAGTCATGGTGGTGGTGGTGGCGATGATGGCGGCGGCAGGGCTCAAGATGTCGAGTGTGACTCGGTCCACCGCCCATTGACCTCTCACGATGCATCGAGTCTGCTGTGCAGCCACCGGCAGTAGCCACGCAGCGTCAAGCACCACAGCATGGGAAATGTCCATTCTGGCGTGGCGGGAGAAGTGCGACATGGGTCAGGTTATTCACTCAGACATTGATAGTTCGTCGAACTCGATGTCCTCTGCACGTGTTGACAGCAGGCGGTCGATTAGGCGCGAGCCGCCTAAGCACAGTCTCAGGCGCCTGCACAGCAGATCCAAGTTCACGATGATGCCTGTTCGAAGCAATCGAAGAAGCAGAGAAACTGAATTGACCCATCCGTCCGTCGATTCGGCCGAGGTTCCTCGTATCCGTAATGAAGCAACACAATTACCCGCTCGCGTTTTCATGCGCTGATAACGAGAAAAGCCCATCGGGTGACGTCGGGGCCTTGTCCACCTTCGCGGGCAACACTCGACCGTGGGTCGCCCGGCGCGGCTTGGGAACCCGGCGCGGCTCGCACACGATTGGTGCGGGTAAATGGCAGGGTAAATTTGGACCGTTCGGCTGAAGCAGTTTCGAAGGGCCACGGCTGATGCTAGCGAGGGTTCTAGGGTTTTAGACGCACCTTGACCGCCGCGGGCTGGCCGTTGCACGCGCTGCAACGGTGGGGACGCCCCGGGAGCTGCCCCGCGCCAGGTGGGATGCAGCTCCAACAGACAGCTCTCGTCCGTTGTCTCGGGATGAGGGGTCACGATTCTCGAAAGATTTAAACATTACAACCGCGCGAGTCTTGATGTCCAGTCTCACGCTCTGTATCTAATTTCCCCGGGTCCTTATCTACCGTAGTACTAGCCTTGATATACTGACCGTGTGCCCATTCTGATTTCTCCCGTGGATTGTTTAATGCTTCCTTTCTGTCCTCTTCGCATTCTGAACTTCGTCACCATTGCATCACGGGCCAACTGCCTACTCTCTTCATCTTCTTGACGTTTCTTGATCTTGTCTCCCTTCACGAACTGATTTCCTCAAACTCATACTACATATACAATTCAAAATGGAGGGCAAATCCGTAAGTATAATCTCCAACGCGCTCCATATTCTCCGCAGACCGACATCTCAGCTCACCCGTCGCTTCAGAACAAGTCATTCGTCCTCAACAAGGTCAAGGACGTCTCCTTCGAAGACCGGCCCGTTCCCAAGCTCACCTCCCCGAACGACGTCCTCGTTGCCATAGCATATACCGGAATCTGCGGCTCAGACGTCCACTACTGGCAACATGGCGGCATCGGCAAGTTCGCCCTGACCGAGCCCATGGTCCTGGGCCACGAGTCCGCAGGCGTCATCGCCCAGGTCGGTGAGGCCGTCACCACCCTCAAGGTCGGCGACCGCGTCGCCGTCGAGCCCGGGTACCCGTGCCGCAGGTGTCCCAGCTGCCTGGCGGGCAAGTACAACCTCTGCCCCAAGATGCAGTTCGCAGCCACGCCGCCCGTCCACGGCACCCTGACGGGCTTCTGGGCCGCCCCGGAGGACTTCTGCTACAAGCTCCCCGACAACATGTCCCTGCAGGAGGGCGCGCTGATCGAGCCCCTCGCCGTCGGTGTGCACATCGCCCGCATGGCCCAGCTGTACCCGGGCCAGTCCGTCGTGGTCATGGGCGCCGGCCCGGTGGGCCTGCTCTGCGCCGCCGTCGCCAAGGCCTTTGGCGCCTCCACCATCGTGAGCGTCGACATCGTCCCGTCCAAGCTCGAGTTCGCCAAGGGGTTCGCCGCCACGCACACGTACCTGTCACAGCGCATCTCGGCCGAGGAGAACGCCGAGAACATCAAGCGGGAGTGCGGGCTGCCCGACGGCGCAGACGTCGTCATCGACGCCACCGGCGCCGAGCCCAGCATCCAGGCGTCCGTCCACGTGCTCAAGAACGGAGGGCACTACGTCCAGGGCGGCATGGGTAAGGCCGACATCACCTTCCCCATCATGGCCTTCGCCGTCAAGGAGGCCACCGCCCACGGCTGCTTCCGCTACGGCAGCGGCGACTACAAGCTCGCCGTGGAGCTGGTTGCGAGCGGCAAGATCGACGCCAAGAAGCTGATCTCCCAGACTGTGCCCTTCGAGAATGCGCTTGAGGCGTTTGAGAAGGCCAAGGAGGGCCAGGCTATTAAGATGTTGATTGCTGGACCGAATGAGAAGATATAGTTTGTATGGCCTGGAGGTGGTGTAGTGTGTTGGCAGCGGTGTTCCGGAAAAGTTATGTTTGAGGTGAGGAAGCGTTTGACATGTTGTCAGTGGTCTATGTTTAGCGAGAAGTGAAATTTTACTGTGGCTTGCATCAAATGAGGTATTTCTACTTTGTGAGCTCTTCCTCTTGTATTTGGCGTCTTTCTAGGTGAGGTAACGGTGAAGTCGACAGTGAAGACGCCGCTCAAGCGCACAGAGGCGCCTACCCAGCCAGCAGCAATTTGTCAGCTCGAACTCGAGAGTACCACGAGCTGGTGGCTACATTTTTACGGGGGCCCAGAGCAATCACCGCCCAAAGGCCTCAAATTTGCACTGCAACTCTGCGGAACTATACAACCTCAACTTGTTGAGACTACAGATTGGTACCCAGGGTCAACCCATGGGAGGTAGGAGCATCTACAGGAGAGCGTCTCAGAAAGTTATCCTATGGTTAGAAAGTTATCCCAGGGACTGTCAACCTATCTGGGTAGAGGTTTGTACCTAGGGAAATGGCATCCTATTTTCTAGGCAGGCAGCACTCTGATCCGCCCTGCATAGCTACCTAAACCGGCTCGGTGAGGTCAACTTCCTTCCGCTCAAAGTCAATGCACAAGATCTTAGTGCTGGGTCCACACATCCCTGGAAACATGCTTGGCTCGGGCTGCAAGATTGCAACGATCGTGTCACTCTACATGTTGTTACGGTCATAGGACTGTACAACATGAATTCCAAGGTGAAAACTAGAGCAAAAATATACGCCAAGTAAATGGTACAAGTAAAAATGTCCAACACAGGGATCGAACCTGTGATCTTCCGCGGACAGGTCTAGAATTCACTTGATGCAATTCACTGTAAAGCGGACGCCTTAACCACTGGGCCAGTCAGACTTTTGTAGGAGCTGCGAAGTACAATTAGTCGAGTGGTTAAGGCGTCTGCTTTACAAACTACTTGAAGCATCAGCTTTACAAGCTACTTAATGTATATAATTTAGAGAGATGCTCAATAACTATATCTTATAGATAAGTTAATGTGTTTAATTTATACTCTGACTATATTTAAAGCAGTTATATTATAAAATATTCTAATTCTAAGAGTTAGAGGAGCAGATGTCAAAATAAGGAAATTATCCCGAAGAGTGGGAGTGTTGGAAATGGAGGCTTCCAGACATTTCCTCCTTGTAGGCAGCGGGCAGCTGCCTAGTGCTGCCTGTCACTCTGATGACAAAGGACACTGTATTATTTAAGAAAGTGCATCAGAGGGACCTCTGGCAGATAGATTCTTCCGTTGGTAACCCACCACGGACAATCAATGTGTGATCTGCAGTTCTCTTTTCCAACATTTGGCAGTTTCATCGGCTCAATTATCAAGGCATCTAATTTACAAAATTATTCACTTGTCTGCCTTGTAAGATCACTATGTCACCTGCTTTGCAAGACTTGCCGTTTCCATCACTTATGTTATCTGTCATTATTGTACTCACAGATTCACTTGTTTGTGTCTAAGCAACACTTCACCAACAGAGTCAAAGTCCCCGAGGCCGGCAAGAAAAGTGAAGTCCCCCCACTTGAAACTCACCATTATCATTATATGTAAAGGATCTGGCGCTACAAAAGAGGATGATGAGATATACCATGCCATTCTCAGGGATCCAGACTATCATTGTGTATGCCAAGGAACTCACATGATACCACTGCTCGTCATCACGTTTCAATGATCCCAGGCCACAAGGCAGGGAATGACAATGATACTGACACAGTGCGTTCGCTTTCTTCCTAGTCATGAAGTACTAGCCATGAAGTACTAGCTATCATTATTTCCATGTATACGTGGCCGCAGGATGATCGGCTCGAACACGCGGGCCTTGACCATCGGCCAAGAACGTCTCCCGCATGCTCCCTCCCGGAACAGGGTAGTCCTCCTGGAGCACGCCCCGCGCTCGGAGCTCCGGCCAGAGGTACTTGATCATGTCCTCGAAGGAGCCTGGGGTAGTCGCATAGCTCAAGTTGAATCCGTCGATGCCAGCCTCGGTGATCCAGCGCTGCAGGATATCTGCGACCGTCTTGGGACCCCCGACCGCCTTCGCGTGGGCCCCGGATATCGCGAGCCGCTCGAGGACTCTGCGCTTCGTCCACTTCAGCCCTTCCGTGCCGGGGACGGTGTCCGTCCACGCCTTGATCATGGACTGGATCGCCCCGGGGCCCGTGAACGCAAAGTCCTCGTCGTCGGTGAATTTATCCAGGTCTGTTCCTGACCAACCACCAAACAGCGCTGCGGTGCCTTCGAGGTCTGCGTACTGGAGCAGGTCTTGGAATTTGGCCTGGGCCTTCTCATCTGTCTCGTCCACCACGATGAAGATGCCCGTGAGGAACCGGACGCTGTCGGCCTTCCGCCCTTGTTGGACAAGCAGCGCTCTATGACTCTGATCAGCTGCTGCTTATATGCATGCAAAATTAGTATGGACCAGGCTTACTTGGTATCGTCAACAATCTTGCGTGTCTTCTCTGGGATCAAGCCTGGGAGGAACATTGCCTCGCTGTGCGTTGCAGCGAACTTTTGTCCAGACCTGTGTATTGCTCAGCAGTGTCCTTCTCGTAGATATCCAGGTCACTTACGCTGATGCTCCAGCTTGGAGCAGGAATGGCGTGCGTTGTGGAGATGGGTCCAGCAGACTGGGTCCAGCACACTGGTAGTACTTTCTATGAAACTGTCAGTAATCGCTCCGGAATCACACACACGGGAGTCCACCCACCCCTTATGGTCGATACGCTTGACTGCATCTGGATTGACGTAAATGCCAGTCTTCTTATCCTTCACTACGGCTCCTTCTTGCCAGGAACCCTCAAGAAGCTTGTAGACGACCTGCATAAACTCATCCGCCCTCGCATAGCGCTCATCATGCGGTATTTGCTCATCCAGGCCGTAGCTCTTTGCCGCGCTGTCTAGGTAAGAAGTCACAATGTTCCACCCCACGCGGCCCTGACTTATATGGTCCAGTGTAGCAAACTTCCTTGCCAGTGCGTAAGGATTCTCGTATGTCGTCGAGGCTGTCACACCGAATGAGAGCGATTTCGTCGCGTGTGCCATGGCTGAGATAAGAAGGCTAGGGGGAATTTAGCAGGGGCTTCGCGAGCGAGGCGGTCGACCATCTGTATTTACCTGGGATCGCCGATGGGGATTTGCGCAGCGCTCTGCAGTGCCGGCGTGTTGTTCGATGGCCCCTTGTACACATCGTATATGCCCAGAACGTCTGCGAAGAATACGCCGTGGAACTTTGCCTCCTCCAGCAGTTTTGCCAGCTTCACCCAGTGCTCCACAGTGAGCTCACCCTGGTCTGGATGCCGCCAGAGACCTAGAGCTTGTAAGTATCATGCATGTCAAGGTTTGTGGCTTGGCTTACCAGGTGCCAGATGACCTGGTGCACTCATGACGAATGCATTCATTATCCATGGTCGCGAAGAGTTGCTTGCGTTGGACCCTGACATTTTCGTTGCGTGCCTTCCAACTTTTCTCAAGGTATGACTGAGAGAATATTACAATAGGGCAGGCAATGAAGGTAACTCTTGAATCTAGGACTACCTTAAAGTCGGGAGCGGATCACGTGCTAGGAGGGGTTGACGTGACACAAGAGGCCGGCGACTGGCCGATGGCAGGTCCGCAATCGCACGTTGATATTGTCGGCGAAAGACGGGAATCACCGAATCAAATTCTTAGGATTGGATTCAGAGCTTGTGAATGGTCTAGCATTCCTTGCGTTGCGTCTAGGTGAGTGCTACCAAACTCGTTAGAAGTGGATAGATGGCGAGAGATGGCGTGCTCGAGGGGCTCGGCGACTACCGGAGTTTGACAGCGCTGATTATCGCCAATAACGACACGTACTTCGCTCACTAACCATATGTGCCTGGGCGAATTGCAAGTTGGGTCAATTGGGAACAAACAAACGAATTTGATGAACTCGCCATAAAGAAAGGCCTATATATATAAATCGAAGGTGACATTCTTAGCTGGTGGACAGCATCATTCTTGGCTGACAGGCTACTTCGCCGTTCGAGCGAATGATTTCTAGCCAGCTTAGCTTGAAATATGGAATCGCGACAAGCGAGCCAAATACACTCGTTGACATCTGAATACCGTATGCCGGATATGATTCGAAATGATCTGGAACTATGACGTTATCCTGTAGACTGAAAGGATCCTACCACGGCAAGCATGGCTACATGGCTCATATTGTAAAGGGGTAGACCGGGGCACTTTCTAGCTTCTTCATTGCTTTGAACGAACAAGTGCCGAGGGAATTCCCGGCATGCCGAAAGGGAGCAAAACAGCGTCTCGTCAGTTGTGCGAGACGCCTTCAACGCTCCCTGGACCTGTGCTTGAAGTGGGAATTGTCCCTGAAGTGGTAGAGTCAGCAATATCTCCATTCTTCGCATATTACTCTATCTTACCTTAGTAACCTTAGTACTCTCTAGTGTTGCAATACTACTTGGTCTCCGGTGTATGCATGTGCACATGGCGAAAAGAGACGGCACTCTGTAACCCAGCATTGCACGTGGAAGGTATGCAGAAAGAAGGTTACACTGAGGCATACGAAACCATGATAAGGCAGGCATTCATTCCCCTTGCTTGTTCCACTCAAGCGTAGCACATTTGGATTTTCGTTCACGCTAATCCATGCAACAATTATTTGCATTCTGAGAATCTGGTTGATCCAAAGCCCTGGGAAGGTCCACAACAGACGATAGAAGTGATCCACAACAGCTTTCACGAGCTTTGAGTGTCCCATGATGCCATCGCCGCCTAAAAGCTTGATAACGCTCACAACTTCTTGCTTCATATAATCAAAGCGCTGGTTCCAGAACACAGTTCTCATAGCATCTCCGTTTTCCTTGGAACTCATTTGCCAGGCTGGCTTCTTCCGAATTCGACGACCGCTGCTTGAGGTCATGACTTCCGAGGAGATAGGAGCGTACCATGGCGGCGCTGCCGAGCGGCTTCGCCGTTTCTACCGCGGAACCACGTTCCAAGCCATCATACTCGGACTGGTCAGCTTCACCCAACCCGGCATCTGGGTCGCGTTGAACAGTGAGTGCTACCTGTCGGAGTGTGGTACATGCCCCATACTGATAGTAGACAGACCTTGGAGCCGGTGGTCAAGCATCGCCATACGTGGTCAATGCCGGTGAGTACTGCCAAATTCCACCCTGTCGACGTGCTGCTGACGGCTTGGCAGCCAACGTTGTGACATTCGCCATCATGGTCGTCTTCTCGCCATTTTGCGCAGTTTTCGGCAATCGCTACAGTCTCAAATGGGTGCTCGTTTTTGGAACAATCGGCTATGTCCCATACTGCGCAGCATTGTACACTAATACCGTGTACGGCACCCAATGGTTCTTGATATTTGGCGCGGCCACGTGTGGTTTCTCCGCTGCGGCCCTGTGGACGGCCGAGGGAGCCATCGCCGTCGGTTACCCAGAAGCTTCGCGTCGAGGTTGGTGTGTGGCCATCTGGCTCGCACTCAACAAGATTGGCTCGCTCATCGCCAGCTGCATCCAGCTCGCGCTAAATACGAGCAATGATGAGGCAGGGAGCATCAGTCCCACGACGTACCTCGTTCTCGTTGGGCTGACCTGTGCGGGTCTTCCCCTGTCGTTGCTCTTGTCTTCTCCCGAGAAGCTCATTCGCAGGGACGGAACCAAGCCAACAGCTCGCTCCAGCAGAACCACAATCAAGCAAGGGTTCAGAGACTTCTGGGCGGTGTGCAAGACTAAGCATATCTACATGCTTGTACCGATTTTCATCACGGCACAATGGGGACAAACTTACAACGGTAACTACCTCGCGGCATACTTTTCAGTCCGAGGCCGTACCCTCGCAGGTTTCATCGTCACCA